TTAGTTTGCTTGAATAAATAGGAATATGATGTGTTGGCCATGTTTTCCTCTTGAGGGTTATCACAGAGTTTTGATTAAGGACAAATGTTTCAAATGTTGGGTATATTTAAGTTCACTGCACTTAAAATGAACTAAGAAGTTGTATAGGCTTGATTAAAGGGCTGCCTTCGTGAACTTAAATTAAAAGCTATAAATTCCAATGATTCAAGTGATTGGGACTAAATATGGTATTCCGTCAGAAAAGTTGAAATGGAGTCCAAAGAGACTGAAATGGTGTCCAGGTTTCAAAAAACGGTGAAAGAGGAAAGGTCAAGCTGTCGGAGTTGCCTTTCCTCTGGGTTAGTGAATGAATCACATTACGCAGAATTCCTTTTAAGTAAAACTTCACAAGAGTTACAGGCTCCCAGAACAATCTGTTTTGTCATTTCTAAAAAGAAGCCTCCCAAACGCTCAGAGGCCGGTATGTAAGTGTTGTCAGATGGGGAGAGGAGGTTGAAGGATGAGAAGTGGGGCTGGGATAGGGGTCCTCTGGAGATTTTACACACACGCGCGCGCAAGCCAACTATTCCGAGCAGCCTCCAAAACGGAAGTCAAGGTGACTTCCCCACCCGCGGGAGGGCGGGGCCTTTGAAACCTAATAGGATCTGGCTTCAGCCCGGGCTGTTGGGAAGAAGCCCTAGTCAACAACAACCGGGGTCAGAAGCAGGTGCGCTCTAGGGTGGCCGAGGGGATCTGATGACCCCGGGCCCACCGGGCTTCTCCAGGCCGACCTTGGCTCAGCCCGCAGGGCGCCAACCAGGCACCGACTCCCTTCCCGGGCCAAATGGGAGGGTTCAGCCAGCAAAGTTTCTACCGCAAGGTCGGGCCTCCGTCCCCGTACGGGCCACATGTGCTGCCCGGGAGGAGCGGTCCCCTCCCTTCTCCCACTGCTGCAAGGTGGAACAGCTGCCCCGCGCCCCTATTTGTTTTCCACGTTGCACCAACTCGGCACGTGAACGCCTGAGGCTCCCGAGCCCCTGGGCCCCCGCCGGCCGGCACGCGCGCCCCGGGGCAACTGGCCGACGCTTACCTTGGCGGCCGCCATGCTTCGCCCCGAGTGCGGGCGGTTGCAGGACCCTCTCCGCGGCTGGCTGGCACTGTGGGCCCCGGCGGCTCACTTCCCGTCCGGGCGGCAGCGGGGGTGGCGATAGAGCCCGGCAGCGTGCGCGCCGAGCTTGCCTCCCCACGCCCTCCCGCCGGCGCGGGTCATGCGGGCGCCGCCAGCCCATTGGCTGCGCCCGGCCCGGGCCGGCGGGGCGCGCGTGATCCGACGGCCTCTGCCCTGCGGCCGGGGCGGGCCCGGGTCCGGGGGCGGTGGACGCGGCGCGCGCACGTGACGCCCCCTGCGCTGTCCAGCGGCGGCCACCTCGGCGGCCAGGGCCCAGGGGCCCACGCGGGGCGCGAGCCGGCGTCCTGGGGGTAGGTGACCTGAGGAGGGAAGCTGCGACTTCGACCGGGGCCGGCCGTACCCGGGGCGGCTCCAGGGCGGGTAGACCCGTAAGGAGGGGCACGCAGCCTGAGGAAGTTGAGAACCCCACTAGATACTGTTAAGCCGGATTTTCCGTGTCGGTTCGCCTGGGAACGGGCTCCACTCTGCACCATCCTAGAATGTATCCAAAGGCATTGGCCAGTCAAGGGAAGATAGCAAATACCACTGGCAAATCTATCTACCTTGAGGCCAAATCTGTAAACTCTAAGAATCAAACAGGTATATATAGTGCAGAACATAATTGTGAGGCTACTTCATTTCAGCCCTGGGTATTAGGATGATAGAGGTCAAAAATTCCCGCCCTCCCCCCCCCCGAATTTAGGCCCTGCTAAAATAAATAGGTCAAAATTTTAATAGAAAAATTAAATGTATAACCTCTGGAGATCTTAGTCCTCTTTATCAAAATTCCATTCGTCTCTGCCATGAAAATTTATAATTAAGGCAACGGTGGTCAGAGAAAAGGGCTTTAAATGTTTTGTGGCTTATGGATATAATCTTTGAGCAAAAGTGTTTATTACTGATTATTTTAATTAATCAACGCCAGTTGTGTGCCTGCATGTGCCAGGCACTGTGCTAGATACTGGGAGCACCAAAATGAAAGATGGTCCCAGCCCTTAAAGAACTTAAGTGCTAGTGAGGAGGCAGACATATAAATAGTTAACTTCTATATAAATAACCTGTTAAGGCAACAACCTGTTCCCAGGGTGCTATGGGAACACTGAGGACTCTGAAAGTGAAAGTACCTTAGGGGAGATGATGCCTAAGCTGAATGCAGAAAAATGGCTGTGTATTAGTTCAGTGAAATGGAGGAGAGGGTTTTCCAGCCAGAGAAAAGGAGAGGCAGGAGGCCCAGAAATGGCTGGAGAACCACAGCAAGTTATGAAAGTAGTTGGTCATGAAAGATGACTCGAGCTGTGGGACTGGTGGATGGAGGGTCTGTGTGGACAGGTAGGTACCATGTCATGGAAGGTGTTGGGTGCCACGCTGAAGGGTGTGCACTGTAATTGAAGGGCTTTAGAGCGGGAAGTAGCCGTGGGAAGTTTTACGATATAGATGGATCATTCTGCTTGCAGCGTGGAAGATGGGGCAAGACTGAACTATTGGTATATTCAGACAAGGCAGGCTGAGGGCCTGAAACTATAGATGGGATGGAGCTAAAAGAATATATAGGAGGCAAAATTAGTCACTGTGATGACTAATTATATGTGGGGGTGGGAGAGAGAAAGGGAGTCATCCTGTCTTGCACCTACATCCCTGGTGTATGGATGTTGGAAAGACACCAGAGATCAGTAATACAAGAGGAATGTTTTGAAGTGCATGTCTTTTTGTAAGAAGAGTATGTGCAATATACAGATTACCTTGTAAAAGCCAGAAAAATAAGCATTTCAAAAAGGAGCAATTGATTAACATACTCTCAAGAGATCTAACAGAGCCCTGAAAAACTTGGACATGTTCATAGGCAGAGGAGAAAGACCACGCAGAGTGAAAGAATAAAAACAAAAGCAAAAACGGGAATTGATAGAGAAATGAGTGGCAGGGGACGAGTCTAAAGCTCATGTGGAGAGGTGGCCCCAGCTGCTATAAAGGAATTTAAAAGGTACAGAGAAGACACAACCTCATGTAACCAAGATCACATCACATACTGCATATTTATTTTTAAGGGCATTACTGAAGCTCTCCTTTTATAATGTAGATGAACTTTAAAAAATTTAAATGTGGTTTAAATCTATCTTAACCGATTTTAAGTGTATGGTTCAGTCCTGTTAAGCACACTCACATTGTTGTGCAATCTCCAGAACTCTTTTCATCTTGCAGCACTAAAACTCTATGCTTATTCAACAACCACTCCCAGTCTTCCCTCCCCCGCAGCCCCTGGCAACAACCACCATTCTACTTTCTGTCTCTATAAATTTGACTACTCTGGGTACCTGATGAAAGTGGAATCATATAGTATTTGTCTTTTTGTGACTGGCTTACTTGATTGAGCATAATGTCCTCAAGTTTCATCCATGGGGCAGCGTGTGTTAGAGTTTTAAGATTCTTTAAGATTGAATAACATTCCCTTAACTTAAAAAAAAAGAAAAAGAATCAAGAATCTGTTAGATTTTCTCTAGAAATTTGGCGAATTTAGGAAATCATAGTAGTGACCAAAAAAAAAAAAGCCACTCATAATCTTACCACCAGAGTTAGCCACTGTTAAACATTTTACTGTATTGTCTTCAAGTCTTGATGTCTCTATGTCTTTATGTAGAGTTATATATTTTTAAATTTTATTCAGCTTTTTATTTTAATTCCAGTATAATTAATATACAGTGTTATATCAGTTTCAGGTATACAATAGAGTGATTCAACAAATCTGTATATTACTCAGTCCTCATCATGGTAAGTTTTCAGAAAGTTATATTTTTTAATTTAATACAAGGCATCATACTCTTGTTTATAAGTTTCTTATGGCCGCTCTTATAAAGGCACCACATAGTTGGTGACTTACAACAGAAATTTATTCTCTTACAATTCCGGAGGTCAGAATTTCAAAATGAGCCTGGGGCTAAATAAGGGACTAAAATCAAGGTGTCAGTAGCGCTATGCTTTCTCCAGAAGATTTAGGAGAGAATCTGTTTCTTTACCTTTTCCAGGGGCTCACGGCCCTTTCTTTCTCTTCCAAGCCAACATACATAGATAGCATCTTCTGTGTCTGACTCTGCTTCCCTCACATAGCCTCTTCTGTCTGAGAAATCCCTCCGCCTCCCCCTTATAAGGACACGTACTGTGGCATTTAGAGCCAACCCAGATAATCCAGGATAATCTCTCCACCCTCCAGATCCTTTATCACATCTGCAAAGTCTCTGACATGGAAGTTAACATTCATAGGCTCTAGAATTTAGGATGTGGACGTCTTCTGGGGGAGCTATTAGTCCACCTACCAAACCTACCACACTATGGATGCAAGTGTATCCACATGTGGATAAAAGTGAACTTCGACTTACATTTGGAGTCAGACTCAGGTATTAAGCTTCTTCCTTCATTCTAGAATTTCCCAAAATATGAAATTTTCAAAAAGTTTTGCAAAATATGAAATTTTCAATCATAAGCCCTGAAATAGGAAAGATGCTCCTTGATTTCCTTGTAAGCAGTAGCATGATGTGAAACATCATCTGGGAAGATAAATGTTAGTTGCCTGGGCACCTGCCACTTTACCTCCAACCACTTCCTCATGTCCTGACAGGTTTAGGTGCACTCTTGTTAAGTGACTTGTCTCACACTTGTCCTTTCTCTCTGTTCCCAGACTACCGTCTTCCCTACCATTTAAAAGTAGCTGACACTGATGTTCTTATAAGAAGCCACAGAGACATGCCAGGAGAAGGCCAGGTGATAAAAAGGCAGAAATTAGTGTGACCCAGCTATGAGCCAAGGAATGCCAACAATCAACAGCCACCACGAGAAACTAAGAAGAGAAAAGACAGGATTTTACCTGGAGTCTCAGTGGAAGCATGGCTCTGCTTGATTTGATTGGGGATAATCACCTTGACTGGGGACTTAGAGTCTTCAGAACTACAAGACAATAAATTTCTGTTGTTTGAAGCCACCCAGTTTGTGGTACCTCGTTATAGCAGCCCAAAGAAACCAATACAGAGCCATCTGTCTTGTAGCACTGAATGTCAACCTGGCCTGCTGGGAAAGCAGCCAATCCAAATCATGGGGAAACCTCATGGGCCGTGAAGGCACACAGCCTGAGCGTGAGCTCAAGCCCCAGGAACTCAGAAAAGTGAACAGCGTGTCCTGCTCTGAGCTTTCACCTTTCCCAGAGCAGCCACACCTTGTAGATGCCCTTTGACCATGTTCTTAAACTATTTGGTTTTCCTCAGCTCCCTGAAAAGCAGATAAGCCAACAAGAGGTACCCCAGTTACCCCTACCACAGTCTGGTGCCTGCTCCCAGATCCCAGCATGCTGGAAAGGCTACTCCAGCAAGAATGCTCGCAAAACACATCATCTACTGGAAATTTTAGGCATTTACTACAAATTGCAGTATGATCCTTTGTATGGATTGCATTTTGCAAAGGTAATGCCAGAGCTGGTAAAGGACATGTGTACCAGAGCAAGAGGAGCACCGTGAAATAAGGAAATGAAGAGCTCCCAAGTTCTGACCTTGCACAGGACCCAGGACCCTCTGGGACGGTCATTTCTTTTGGGAATCCTGCCGAGGGTCAGATCAAGCATGATAAGCCTTCCCTGAGAGTGGGGTAAAGGTAGGTTGGAAATGAATATGACCTAGCTTCTCAGTAGATGGAAAAGAGAAAGCTATGTCAACCTTTTTAGAGTTAAAAAGGAAGGAAGGGGAGGGAGGGAGTCAAGATAAGGAAACAAGACATCTTGAGAAAGTGTTATTGAAAACAAATCCCCAAAGTTTTGAGATATGCTCTGAAAGCAAGGCCTCGAACAGCTCGTTTCTGAGACCAGAGCAGGTATACGCAAGCATGTGAACACTTGTCCCCAAGGGTGGACCTTCAGTTTCACCGAATATAAGATGTGAGCATTGAAAGTCACCCAAAAATGCAAGTAGGGGCCATAGTAGCAACTACCAATGGTCTGCTGGGGAAAAGGAATCACAATTACTAACTTTACATACAATTCATCATAATGTCCTGGTCAATAGCCAGATACTCCAATTCAGGGATAAATGATTAGATTCAAAGCACTCAAGTTACATAGAGGTTTGTGGGAGGCAAAGAAAACCTCTAAAATCTGCTATAGCCACTACAAATTTGGGGATGAATTCATGTTTCCAATTTCAGTTCAAGTCCCCAGGCTACAGTGTTTACTGGTAAGAGTATCTAAATGTACTGGGGTCACAGATGACACATAGTACCCCCAAAAAGTTCTAAGTTGACAGTTATGTGATTGCTGTGTATCCCGAGAGCATAAAGGACTCTTAAATAAAATTCAGTAGACAGCTGATGCTTGACCAGTAATTATGCGATTATATACATTATTTATACTTCCATGGCTTAAGGGTTGACCATTGCAGCCCCTGCCAACATGGCCTTATATTCTAGTGTTAAACCATTTTCCTGCCCTACATTATAAGGACTTGACCTGCACACAGAAGCGAAGGTGAAGAAGACACAGTCCTGGCCCTCAGAGAATTCAAAGATCTATCGTTCATGTCTTTGTCAAGTGTCACTGGATCAGAGAAATCTCCTGCCCCTCCTCCATTCACCTGCTGCTTTGGTTTTCATTCTATCCCTTATGACCTGGCATACATTTATATTATATTTGTTGTCTGCTTTCCCCTGTTGGAAAGAAAGCAGAGATTGTATGCCCAGTGTCTGCAACACTATCTGACATGTATAAGGCACTCAATAAATATTCATTTAATGTATGCATTGAAAACATGAAATCCTACACCTACAGCACCAATACCTCTAAGGATTGAAGAAGATTACCCTGCAGGGGCCAATGAGTAGAAGTTTAAATTAAGGACACTGTGATGACTTGGCTTTATCCACAATTTCAAGGCACATTGTGAATGTTCCTATATTAGACCGGAGCAATTGCTCTTCCCAGTACGTTATTCCAGCACCACTCATAAGAGAAATGTCCCTGGTATCTTATACAACACTGACAAAAGAGGTAGGTAAGTAAATAGTAGGGATATTTTGAAGAACTTCTAATAGTATGAGTACAACAGAAGTCCGAACCATGCTGAAGCAAGGGTCATGCCTTATATCCTGCTGTGTTGTACAGACCAGGCTCGGAACCCTTGTGTATTGGTTTCCTATTGCCATTGTAACAAATTACCACAAATTTGTTGTTTAAAATATCATAAGTGTATTTATTATCTTATAGTTCCGAAGTCCAAAATGGGTAATTTCAAGATATTGGCAGGACTGTGTTACTTTCTGGAGGCTCTAGGAGAGAATCCATTTATTCCTTGCCCATACAGCTTCTAGAAGTCACCTGCATACCTTGGCTCATGGCCCTCCTCCGTCTTCAAAGACAGAAAGAGTAGGTCCACTTCTCCTCATATCACATCAATCTGATCTCTTCTTCTGTTTGCTCTTTTATATTTAAGGACCCTTGTGATTACATCAGGCTCACCCACATAATCCAGGGTAACCTTCCAATGTTAAGGTCAATTGATTAGTATATTAGTTTGTTAGGGTTTACCATAACAAAGTGCCATAGACTGGGTGACTTAAACAACAGAAACTTATTTTCTCACAAGTCTGGAGTTTAAAAGTAGGGGACCAAGGTGTCAGCAGGGTTTGTGTCTTTAGCAGGGTTAGTAAATCTCTTTCCTTGATTCATAGATGGCTGTCCTCTGCCTGTATCTTCACCTGGTCTTCCCTGTGTGCACACCTGTGCCCTACTCTTCCCTTCTTATAAAGACACCGATCATATTGGATTAGAGCCCATCCCAGTGGTCTCATTTTAATGTAATTACCCCATATCCAAATACAGGCACATTCCTAGGTACTGGGGGTTAGTATTTCAATATATGAATTTTGAGGAGGACACAATTCAGTCCATAATGATTAGGAATTTTAATTCCACCTCCTACCTTAATTCTTTTTTGCTATGTAATATAATGTAACATATTCAGAGGTTCTGGGGATCCGGACATGAATGTCTTTGGGGAGCCTAACACACCTTGTTCTGAATATGGTATCACTGGCATAGCAAATCTTTGAGAAATAGTAGTTCTGAGAGTAGAATATTTAAAACCTTTAACCATGGCCCCATAAAATCCCAGTAAAGCAAAACTGATTGCTCAGGGGAATTATGTCAAGGCTTTAAAAAGATTGAGCTCTACCTCTATGGCCTGGAAGCAGAATACCCTAGGGTTTTTCACCAAGCCCAAGTCTGTGTGTATGAATCTGGCTGAGGTCCCCCGAGCCCAGCAATCCACTCAAAGCAGTGGCAAATCAAGCTTAGACCAGCCTGACCACTCAGTGCACTCAGAGGGTTGTATCAGAAGAGGCAAATGCTTCAGCAGGCCAGTATCTGAGCAGGAAGGAGCAGAAGCCAGTAACTTATACAGTGCGCTCCCCAGGCCTGACCATCTGTAGCATAGAGCATTCCTTCTTAGTTCAGCCGTTTCTTTCACAAGAATTCCTAAAACTCTTCATCAAGAGCTGTATAATTCCTTAAGAAATTAGATGCTCGGGAAAATAATCTTACCAAAACTGGTTCAATGAGACCTATGTTTTTTATAAAAAATAAGCATCAAAAGCAAAAACAAAAAAACCCCACAAAACACCAAACACTGCCACCACCATCACCACCAAACTCTATTTAGGTATTATTTCTCTCTTGCACTCTTTACAGCTAATCAAGATGTAGAAAAACAAGAACTGGTTGGGGTATGTAGATTCTACCCGGGGCTCTTAATATCTCCTCATCTATCTCTCTCTTTGACTATTTGTCTAACTAGCTTCAGATAGCATGGTGAGTTAAAAGTCAGACAGACCTTTATTTGAGGCCCCCAGCTCTGCCCCTTATGGCTGTGTAACCTTCGGTCAGTTATTAACCTCTCTGAGCTTCAGTCTCTTGATCTGTAAATGACATAAAAATATCCATTTTGCAAGTTTGCTATGATACTGAATTGAATATGTAAATCATTTGGCACATAAAAATATGTTATAAATGATAGCAATACTAGAATGAAAGGGTCAGAGCAGCTATCCTCCTTGACTCCTTCCTGCTCTGGTGCTCTATGATTCTATTCTATTGTTACTGCCATCGGGGTGGAAAAAAGGAGGGAGGCAGATCAATTTAGAAGACTTGGAAAATCTACTTTCGAGACCAGAAATTGAAACTCCAATGAGGCAGAGAACATGAGAGCCCTTGAGTGTTTACGAACAACTTATTAGTGTTAGCTCTAGGTTTCTAATTTGAGGATATTGGACCAGATGGTTCATGTCTGAACTTTTCTGGCACTTGGACACAATCACAGTTCCAGCCCCAGGGCCACTCGCCTTTGCAGTGCTTTATCTTCCTTCTCGCTGCCACTGCCTAACTCCATTAGGGTATCCAATGCTAGAAAGAGAGGCCAGCACAGTCAGCCTCCAAGGACTCCTGCAGGTGGCAGAGCTCATTCTCTTAAGGTCATAATGCAGCTAAGAAGATCTTTAAACATCAACAGGTAAAATTAAGAAGAAACTCACCAGATACCAAAAGGGGCAGGAGAATTCAAACTCTAGCTGAATGTCTGGCTTTTCTCTGTGAGACCCTATGGAATGTGGCCCCTCCTGCCTCTCAGGCTTTCTCACCCCTTATTTCCTGACTGCTGCTAGTCCCTCAACTGGCCGAGCTTTCCTGCCCCAGGACCTCTGCACTGACTGTTCGGTCTGCAGGGAACACCACCAGTCCCTCTCCCTGATCCTCTTTTTCATCCTTAGGTCCTCAGGGGTGCCTTCCCTGACCTCCTTTCTAAAGCAGGAAGCTTTTTGTTATTCTCTATCTCTGCATCCGGTTTCTGGTCTTTTTAGCACTTATGACAGTGAGTAATTACGTGTGTGTGTGTGTGTGTGTGTGTTTTCTAGGCATCGGTGTGTGAAAAGTTACTTGGGACAGAAAGATTGGAGCTAGATGGAGAAGGTGAATGGCCTCAGTTCTGGGGTAGATCCTGGGCCTTTCTACTGATAAATGACCTGATTCAGTAGCTCAATCCACGTTGTCA